TATTTGTGTTTTTATTGTGTGCGTTTTTGCGCAATTTTTGTTTAAAAATGCGCCCGACTTTTGTCTAGTGAGTGTATTTTACCAATATGGAAATGAGTTTACGTGATGCTTCCATAATACTGCAATAGAGTAGAGTTTCTCTTCGTAATACAAATTTTTGTTTGAATTATTCAAATCATTCGTTTGTTCGAATTATTCAAACCATTCTTTTATTCGAATTATCATCATTCATTTATTATTCGAATTATCATCATTCGTTTATTTGAATTTTACCATTCGTTTATTATTCGAATTATTTTCATTTGTTTATTCAAATTGTTATCAGTCGTAATTATATTCACGGACCCGGACACTTTACCGACACTCAATTTACCGACAGGACACTTTACCGACAATCAATCATTGTGTTAGCAATTTGCCAAGGACTGTGTGAAGACCTGGATAACTAGCTAAAAGTTTGGTTTTTTACAGACAAGTTAAATCAGCCGTTAATTAACTAACAACACAACTTATTATCCTTACTTTGCATCAAAAACCAGTTCATAAAAATACAATATAGATACATGTATAATATTTTTTTTTGTCTGACGAAATGTTTTTTTATTAAATTTATTTATCAAAAAACTTTTGTGACACATTAATTATATTATTTTTAAAAAAATAACAAAAAAAAATTTTAAAATGAAATATTATGGGCAATGCCCCGAAGAAACTTTATAGTTGATCTAATGTTATGGTCATTTAATACTGTTTGAATCCATATTTCACGATTACGATCTTGTGGTTTCTGTGGGGGTCGTGGTGTTCCTCGCAAGACCATTTCTACGTCAAGTTCGACTTTACTTAGATTGTCGGCAAAGTGTCCTGTCGGTAAATTGACCTGTCGGTAAAGTGTCTTGTCGGTAAAGTGTCTTGTCGGTAAAGTGTCCTGTCGGTGAAGTGTCCTGTCGGTGAAGTGTCTTGTCGGTAAAGTGGGTGTCGGTAAAGTGTCCTGTCGGTAAAGTGGGTGTCGGTAAAGTGTCCCAGACCCGAACCAATTGGTTTGGATATTTGGATACTGTCATTCTTCATGAATTGTTTACAACCTAAAGTTTTGTTTTTTTGGACCACCAAGGTTTGCTATAATGCCAGTCAATTGACGATCCATTGGAATTCATTATGAATCATTTCAAG